TGAATTTAAAAAAACACACACACACACACACACACACACACACACACACACACACACACACACATATATATATAATTGATTTTAGAGAGGAAGGGAGAGGGATAGAGAGATAGAAACATCAATGATGAGAGAGAATCATTGATCTGCTGCCTCCTGCACGCCCCCCACTGGGGATCGAGCCTGTAACCCAGGCATGTGCCCTTGGCCGGAATCGAACCTGGGACCCTTCAGTCCCCAGGCCGACACTCTATCCACTGAGCCCAAACCAGCTAGGGCCAAAAGGCCTTTCTTGCAGCCCTGTCTTAATTGAGAAAACAACCTCCAAGATGGCACTGCCCTCATCTCATGCACATCACCAGGAGGGGGGTGAGCCACTTCCAGAACCTGTCCTGGAGTTTAAGCAGCTCCTCGGGCAGATCTCTGGACGCACTGTGGCTCTGAATCTTAGAGGTGCCTCCCAGTGGACTCTGCCTGGGGACGTCCTCAGCCACGTGCATCATTTCCTCCCATCGCCTCCACAGCCCACTTCCAGCTTTTTGGTTATTAATTCAATCCTACTTTGTCCTGCTTACTTGGAAACGTTTTTAGAAATCCAAGCACATCTCACTCTGCAAAATGTCTCTGAGGCAACACTAGGGGGCTGTGAGCCGACAGGGTGACACAGCAGATGTAGAACCTATGTGATGGGCACATTCTGCTAGATCACCACAATCCCACATTGATGTTTCTCTCTCCCTCTCCCTTCCTCTCTCCCTAAAATCAATAGCGAACATTTCTCCCTAACTGGTTTGGCTCAGCGGATAGAGCATCAGCCTGTGGGTCCCAGGTTCAATTCCGGTCAAGGGCACATGCCTGGGTTTCGAGCTCGATCCCCCGTAGGGAGTGTGCAGGAGGCAGCCGTTCGATGATTCTCTCTCATTGATGTTTCTCTCTCTCCTTTTCCCTTCCTCTCTGAAATCAATAAAAATATATGTAAAAAAAACAAAAAACGAACATTTCCTTGGGTGAGGATAAACAACAACGACGACGACAACAACAAAACTCCCCAAAA